GTAACCGGTAAATAAAGTGACTGTCAATTTTTAAACCCTTAGTCTGTTCCTTTGAGCTTCGGACTAAAACCTGTGGAACTGTCAAACTACAATTTTACTCTCTCAAATGAGAGTAAAAGGAGAACAGATGCAGAAGTGCATAGGAAGCACTATTTCCTGTAAAAACGTCAGTCGGTTTGTTTACATGTCATTTGTACAACACTGATTTAGCTGAAATATCACTAAGTAGTTATTTAAATCTATACATATTCAAACATTTCGTTGTTTACTTCCATTTTCTTACAAATATAAGGTAATTTGCTTTCACCGCTGTTTGTGTTTGCTTGCACATGCAAATCAGCTGATCGTTTGACACTGTTCATGAACTTACAGGAAAAGAAACTCCGGACTAAATCCTGTAACTTCTGACTAGGAACAGTTGCTCAGTTACTCTCTCAAATGTGTTCCCACTTACAGGTTTTATGTCAATAGGAACGACTTCCTGTAAGTTCTGACTAAATCCTGTAAACCGGACTGCTATTGGAACAGACTACCTTTTCGCATTCTGTGTACTCTTGTAACCGGTAATTTTTGTTACCATCTCATACGCTGGTAACAAAGTATTGCCCCGTGAAATATGCAATGCCAGAATTTGCACAATTCTTCATAGCGGAATTGCTGAATATTTTAACTGCATTACCAACGTACCTAGAATCGCGGTGACAAGAACTGGTAACCTTTTTTGGTAATAAAATTTTCCTGTTACAAAATCATCGGTAAGGTGCAGAATAGACCTGTAGGTGTTAAAATAATTTGACAGATGTGGTCTGCAGCTCGTCGTTTTCATTGTGTTCGGGCTATTACAAATACGTCGTGTTTTTGCGTGATCTGGTATATTTGGTTCATGGCACTATTCTACACTTTTGTTTGTTGTCCATGAAATCGGAATAAAGCAGATTCGAAGAAAAATTTGATACAGGCAATAGGAGTGTTTCTTAGCTTTTTACAGCTGTTGATAGCATATTGGCGAAGAGCATGATTCAATAATACAAGGTTCGATAAACTGACAGTTGTCTCCCTCGCACCGCTCCCTTAGCAGTGGCAAAGTGTTGCTTCTTTGCAAACTTACTTGGAAAAAGTGTTGCTTTGCTATGATATAGAAGTATAAGCTTTTGTGCAATATGTTTATTTGTATATGCATATGAAGCACATTTAACTGATGAAAACATAAACTGCTTTTAAATTGGATGTTTACATAAATCTCATAGTAGTTTTAGTTTAACTTTGAGTCTTTTTGCAGTTTTTATACGGCTAAATAACACAAAAATTGCGTAATTCACGTAGATGTATTAACATTTCGTTCAATATTTCGTTTAAAATGCTAGATTTCCTGCAAATACATTAGAATTTACAAAAGGAATTTCACTACTATTTGCCTACTTTGGGTACTTTTCTACTACCATTTTCGCAGCAATGGATTTCATGCCTCCCCTTTCCCCATCCTTCGTAAATGCAACCTTTCGGAAGGGGGTGTCAAACCGCGGCTGTCAATAATTATCTAACCTTGTATTATCGAACGATGGGCGAAGAGTATAATTTTACGCACAAAGAGATCGAAAGAGGAAAATGTAAAGAAACGAAAACTAGCAGAAATTTGCAATCACAGTATACACACACACACACATCTTCAAATGCATGCACAAATCCTTTCATTCTGCAACATTTCAATGAGTTTTGATAAGGATGCACTCATTTTGTTTTATTAAAACGAAGTAAAATAAACTTGCCAACTTTTTCCTTGTGCGATTTGAACAGCTGCATTTAAACATATGACTGCAAATTTCTGTTGGCAGATATTTCGCCAGCAGAAATTTGCAGCTCTCTCGGTTTTTTATGCTCTCTTTTTGGATCTCTTCTGCAAATTTTTTGTGTTAAGAAACGCTTTCCAGCAGAATCCAGCAAAAATTTGCGACAATTATCTGTTAAGAAACAGAGCTAATACATACACAATGCAGCGAAACACGAAGTATTTTATCATTCTTGCAATCCATACATATTGCAGCTATACGCCTCAAGTGTTCACCCCTTAATAACCAACCTTGTAATAAACGCAATTAATCAATCACATACAAAAATATGCACTTTGCTATTAGCTATTTTGAATACGCTATTTGAATTTAATTAGTCGCTAAATGAATGCCACTGGAATCGAAAAAACGCTCTAACAAAAGCAACCATACTACCTGACAGCCAATGAGTTGAAAAGAGCGCGCAAGAGTGCTGGAAACATTTGAATATTCCAAGAATGAATGAGCGCGCAAATACGTTCCACAAAGCAATTGATGCCAACAGCAAAACAAAGACGCAGTGAAATGGGAAGAAGCGCTAAAGCGAATTAAACAAAACCATTGGTCAAAGTTAAGTTAACGACCGCAAGAATGTATGTATATACAAAATCAAACAAGAAATAACGAAAGACAAAGCAAAAAAGAAAACTAGAGCCGAAGAGACATCGGCAAAACTGTATGCTTGTATAGAAAGAACTCGGCTTAGGCCAATGGTAAAATGCTGGCTTAGGTACCTAGAACGGTTTTGCGGCTTTCAAGAAAACAAATTTCACAAAACCGGATACATAGGTATATTTCATACATACCTATGTACATATATGAATGTGTATCTATGTATGGAAATCCACTCATATACATATGTGAGCACATACATTTGTGCATATGCATAACTAGACATGTGAAGACATCTGTTTTGGACGGACTTGTCATTTAGCCGCACCTGATCGTCAGCAGGTCTTTCTGAGTATGCGCTCATTGCCTTTGTCAAGTAAAACTGCCGTCAGGGCGTATACGCGATATGTTTTCTTCACACATGTGCGCATACTTTCATACCCAGTGCCAAAATGGGAAGATATTTCCTTTTTCTACCAAGAAAAGATTAACCACTACGGTTGAACGGAAAGATGCATCGCAATGTACGCCAGCGGATAATGTGTAGTTTTGAGCCACAAACAAAACAAAAAGTTTGAGAACTAACCTAGGTACACACATTCATACATATCGTCGTTTAAAGTGCAAAACCGCATATCAACATAATGCAAAATCGCGTATCAGCAAAATGCAAAACCGCGTATGTGAAGTTGTAGATTTTATTTTCTAGAGCGTAAAAACACTCATTTTTCAAAATGGTTCTCTTTTTTATAAAGCAATTGCATTTCTGGCTAGTATATTTCAGGACGAATGGATAAGGATTGAGCCAAGAGCTTGTGTTAGCAAATCCAATTTTTGGCAGCCAATGTCAGTTACGCGGTTTTGCAGAATGACGATACGCGGTTTTGTACTTTAAACGACGATATGTATGTATGTCTTTTTCACGTTATCTCAATAGCCGAATAGATGCGCGTTCGACTACCAACTTTTTGATCACGGGTTCAAAGCCTGTGACACGGATTTTTTTTTTTTAATAAATTATATTCATAGTTTTGTAAAACGACAAACGACACTTTACTTTCGTAGGACAACGTAGTAGAGAAATTCTTGCACCTTTTCGTGCTTAGGTTATAGGGGCTATCCATACTTTATGTATTTCCAGATATGTATTACCTTTTCCCACTGGGATACACACATATGTATGTACATACATACATACATACATACATATGAATCCACTCAATTGTTCCACGTCATTTCACAGTTGTCAGCGATTTGCGGTTTCTCTTATTTACTTTCATCTAGTCTACTGTCTACTGCTTTTCTTCTTTCACTCACTTAAAGCATGCTTTCCCCTTAATTACGTTTTAGCTTCACAATTTACACCCACACACGCATGCATACAACCATACAACTGCAGTGTGCGGTCATTATCAGCCATAGATTCACATATTAGATACTTGAATAAAAGCACCTTAAAATTTGTGCTTAGCTGTCGCACTACGCGACGTATGCGCAACTTGAAATGCTCCAAGCGAACGAACGTTGTTGGATACCCAAGCATCATATGAAGACGACGAACGATCAATTGGTAATTGGATGCCTTTGTCACTGTATGCCTCTCTATTGTAGTTTGTCATTGATTCTCTTTTGCGCTTTCTTTAATTTGAATATTTAATTTCTATTTCATACATATGTATGTACATACACACACATATGTGTATGTATGGATGTATATGAAGGTATGAAAGAATGTCTGCAAATTTGTTAAAAAAATTTTAATGTACGAAGTTTTTTATGCTCGCCGATTTATGTATGGTGATGTCATTCAATGCCTACGCAAAAAAAAAAAATACCTACCCAAGTGACCAAACTGTCGGATTGGATGACAGAATGGGTGTACAAATAAGCACACAAACTACAAACAAATATTTAGGTACATATGTACATATTTATGTCTCATTGGTTCCAAATCATATGAACATTTATATATGCACATACGTACATATGTACATGCTATGTTTGCTTGTTACCAGCAAAATGCTCACCTCAGCGATTGCAGTATGAGCTGTACTTGCATAATACATACCGCAAAAATGTACTTTTAATGATTCGTCATGCTCAAAACTATTTGGCAAAAAGGTCAAGTTATGAAAATGGAAAAATAAAAAAGCAAATAATTATTTTAACTGGGCTAAAATATGCATGGCTGCTAAAAGAAAACCATTCCTCCTATATGTACATACGTATAAATATATATGTATGTCTAGGTTAACAGATGATTATAAGTAAATATAGAAAATATTTCTTTCTGTGTCTCTTAAAGTTTGTTGTTTATCTATTAAAGCTTAAACACACGGCAGCGTTGATCCGGATTAACTCGGACATAATTCGGATCAACTGCAGTTAAGTCCCGAGTTGATCCGGATCAACGCTGCCGTCTGTTTATGCTTTTAGGGGCTATACGATTTCCGCTTTTCGGAAAATACTTCCCATAAGTTTAGTTTAACATAGTATAAGTCTTGCCATCGCATTGTGTATTTGAAAAATTTAGTGAACCTGCTTCCAAATGAAAACAACCACTTAGTTATGCAAATTATACGGTTTTATTAAGTTTTTAATTAATTGAATAATAAATGTATGAATGTTTTTAATGAAAGAGAGTACATAACTAAATTAAAAGCTTAATTGCTTCTTCATACACCCTTCCAAGTGCGAAAAACGAATGTTCCTTAACTTACAAACACACACATCTGCATGCATGTATGTACGTTTGCAAATGAAGAGTGTTGAAGTGAAGCTTTCCTTTTTAAGTACAGAAAATGACCAAACTCCGTCATCAAGGCGCTACAAACACACGCCAAGCGCTCAGCCAGAAATGTGCATATTTCTGTTGTTACTGAGGGTAAGCCTCTGAGAATTCACAACTCCCAAGCATATACCAACATACATACATAAGCACACACGCAACTGGCAGTAATTGACATCACGTCATGTGTGTTTTTGCAATTGTTTTGTCTTTTAAGTATTTAATTTATGATTTCTCTTCGATAAACTTTAATCCTGTGTGTAAAGAAAATAATGATATCATTATGTCCACAAGTTTTTAAGCAAATAAATCCATAAATTGAGCGTTTTCTTCAAAGTCTATAAAAAATATTAAAACTAAATATGTAATTACAATCAAACCGTGCAGGACTACATCAGTTCATAATTACAAAATACGCTAAAATTAAGACAAACTTAGGAATATCCGTTTATTTCAATGAGTATAACATAAATGGTATGTATTGTAAGTGTGCTATCAGTGTGCAATAACACACGTTGACTTTTTTGTTTTCAATAACTTAAAAGGGAGTTGCTATGTTAGATAATTTGAATAGAAAATAATTGTTTTATATTTTGTTCATGGAATATAGTTGGCACTGAAGCAAAATTATGTAATATCAGCAAATAAGTAGTTAAGGGTAATGAAGCATGTACATAGCTGGATTACCAAGTAAAAGAGAAAATGTATTATTTTTTATTAAATTTTCGTATGTGTTTAACAACAGGCTCAACGTCTTAAAAATTTAGTAAACGAGTTTTAAACAGCGAGGTCTTTTTGGATGATTTATTTTTGTGTTTTTGACAGTGCTACATATACATACATATATGTATGCATTTTTGTTGGAGCAGTGCCTTCTATATTATTTATACCTTTTTTAGATGTAAAATACATACATTGAGAATTTTTATATGTCTAACTTTGCCTTAGATAGTACGTGTACCTTTTATTACTACGTTAATCTATAAATTGTAAAATATGCTGCTTTTTTCCATTTGAAATGTGCAAGTCTTTAAATTTCTGTTTTTTGTCCCAACACAGTAAAAAAGCTCGTTAATTTGCGCTCGCCCTTTGCGTTTTTCTTGAGTGGTGCTGAGACTCCACCCACCACGGTATCAGCATTCTCTTTCTGGGGCATGGGTTCGTTAGCAGCAGCCATGCTAACATCTTTCTGCACTTGCATTGAGACAGTTACGGATACCTGTTGCACACCCAACGATTGAGAGTGTTGTGCTGGTTGCGGAGAAACAGTTGTTACATGAACATTCCCTCCTTTCTTTAGAGCTGGCGAAGATCTTGGTGTTGATTTTTGACGTTTCTGTTTATTGATTTCAGCTGGCTTTTCATTCTTTGTTGTCAGCACTGCATCTTCTTCTAAGTCATCTGTTTTCAAGCACTGTAATAGTTGCTCTTGTAATTCGTCCATTAATTCTTGCTTCTGTACAGTTGCATTTTGAGGTGCCGATTTAGCTGTACGCTTGCGCTCTTTTTTTTCGTCTCCACCTGTATTCTGTTGTTCTGAACTCTCACCGTGTTCCCTGATTATATGCGTACGCACATGAGCGCGGGAAGAGTAACTACGGCCACAAATTTCACATTTGTATGGTCTTTCGCCTGAATGTTATTGAAACACGTTGAGCTTAGGTTATAAAATGAGTAGGAATTTGAAAAATAGAATCATACCTGTATGAGTACGATGATGTACCTTACGATCGATATTGCGCGTAAAGCGTTTATCGCAGTAATCACATTTATAATTCTTCTCGCCATTATGGCAACGGCGATGCACATGGAGATTCTGGTTTGCCCGAAATGTTTTTTGACAAATATCGCATACGAAAGGCTTCTCGCCAGTGTGTACTCGTTTATGTATTTTCAAATCAGAGCTGCGCACAAAGGCTTTCGAACATTCGGAACAAGTGTAGCGACGGTCGTTGGAGTGATGGCGTTGATGAAGATTGAGGTCCTGTTTGGTAGCTACTGGCAAACCACATGTTTCGCATTTGTACGCCTTCACTGTTAGATGCCGCATTTTATGCTCGACGAGGCGTCTCTTAATACGGAAGCATCGGCCGCATTCATCGCAACTAAACGGTTTTTCTCCAGTATGCAAACGCTTATGCTCAGCCAAACGCAGCCCCTTGCTATATGATTTTGGACACAGGTTGCAGGCATAACGTAGCTTGTGAGTCTCTGAATTAGATGCAGTCGGAACTGAAGACTTCTTGCGCTTGCCTTTACTCGAAGATTCATTAGTTTCAGTTTCGGCGATATCAACACCTGAAATATCTGAGCGAGCTGCTGACGAAGGTTTCGGTGAAGATCGGGTTTTAGAAGGTGTTTCTGACTGGTTTTGCCCATCGACAGAATTCTTGCATTTTCGTGGCCTCTTCGCCGTAGGCTTTGGACGGGGAGTTTGAACTTTTTTCGTAGCTTTGGATTTAGGTTTTTTAAAATCCGCTGCTCTTGCCATATTAGTAATTTGTGTATCCATAACCGGATCAGGCACACCATTACTAGCAATATATATGGGTTCTGTGTGATTTTTATCTGCTTTTGTCGGCGGCTCAGTTGAAACATTTGATTCAGGGGTAGCTTCTTCGGAGTTCGAAGGCGCTTCTTCGGCAGAATTATTTAGTAAAAGAACTACATATACTACAGGTTCGTCTTCAGTTTGTTTTTGTGAAATGCTTTGCTCCTCTGAAGCTACAAGAGTGTCGGGGATTGCAACTTCGGCATCTTTGTTTGGTGCAACAGCGTATAAGACAGGGGCGTCATCAATGTTTTGTTCTGTTAAAGTACATAGCTCCTTCGGAGGTGTAGCATTGTCAAAGATTGCAACTTCGGCATCGTCGTTTGGTAATGATATGGATGCAAATGGTTCAGCAGATAGAACACCAGCGTCATCAATTTTTTCTTCCGTTAAAATATCTTGCTCTTGTGGAGCTGCAACAGTGACGGGGATTGGAATATCGCGTTCGTTGGTTGGTAGTGCAATTGTGGCTATTGATGCAGTTACACATGGTTTTGGCGGCGCACGCTTTGAGAATGCCTGAAATGAGTCAAGGATTGCAACTTCGGCTTCGTTGCTTGGTAATACGGATGCACATGCCTCAGCAGATAAAACACCTGCGTCTTCAATTTTTTGTTCCGTTAAAATACTATGCTTTTCTGGAGCTGCAGCAGTGTCTGCGATTGCAGTTTCCGCATCATTGTTTGGTACTGAAATTGTGAATATTGTTGGACCTTCACAATGCTTTGACGGAAGTCCTTTTGAAAATGCCTGAAATGAGTCAAGGATTGCAACTTCGGCTTCGTTGTTTGGTAATACGGATACACATGCCTCAGCAGATAAAACTCCTGCGTCCTCAATTTTTTGTTCCGTTAAAATACTATGCTTTTCTGGAGCTGCAGCAGTGTCTGCGATTTCTGTTTCCGCATCGTTGTTTGGCAATGAAATTTTGAATATTGCTGGACCTTCACAATGCTTTGGCGGCAGTCCTTTTGAAAATGCCTGAAATGAGTGAACGATAGCAACTTCGGCATCTTTGTTAGTTATAGATATGGATACACAAACCTCAGAAGATAAAAGACCTGCGTCATCAATTTTTTGTTCCGTTAAAAAACCCTGCTCTTCTGGAGCTGCAACAGTGGGGAGGATTGCAACTTCGACATCGTTGTTTGCTAATGAAACTGTGACTTTTGTTGCATCTCCACGTCGCTTTGGCGGCGGTCGGTTTGATAATGCCTGGTGTGAATAACATGATTACTTGCATATATTGTATTTCGTCGTTTAAAGTACAAAACCGCGTATCAACAAAATGCAAAACCGCGTATCAAGATAATGAAATACCGCATAAATTATTTTCTAAAGAGTAAAACCACTCATATTTTCAAATGGTTCTCTTTTTATAAAGCAATCGAATTTCTGGCTAGTATATTTCAGGACGAATGGATAAGGATTGAGCCAAGAGCTTATGTGAGCAAATACAATTTTTGACAGCAAATGTCAGTTACGCGGTTTTTCAGAAGGACGATACGCAGTTTTATACTTTAAACGACGATTTATTTTAATGGAAAAATTAATATGCGTTTATTGTGTGTTATTTTACTTACCGCTCTCCGCTTTCGTTTAAGCTTCGGTGACGACTTTTGTGCGACAACCTCGGCATGTTTCTCTTCTACTGTAATTTCTACTTCTGGCTTTTCTGGACTTGTCGTTGCTGACGTTTCAATGTCATCCACCTGTTGTTCGGTTTGCAACTGCGCATGCTCCTCAGCCAATGGTGGTATTTCACATATCGAAGGTTTTTGGCTAACTTGTTCCTCCACTTTAGAATGTTCGCTTGCTTCTTTATCCACACTAGTTTCGATGACCGCCTCATTCTCATCAACAACCCTCTTTTCCGTTATTTCATTCACTTCTTTCTCTTCATCCGGTGGTGGTGTGTCTGGTACTTGCAATGACACAGTCGTGGTTAAGAAATCGTTGTTATTTAAGTTTTGCGCCATTGGCACTACTACCATCACCGGCGAGTCAGTCATTGCTTCTATGCTTGCTTTACGTTGCTTTTCGCTTTCAATAGCTGCTGCACTCACTTTGGTTAACTGTTCCACTTCTTCGCATACCTCGACCTTAATCTCGCACTTGGGCAACACATCAATTTCTTTAACAGGACCAGTAAATAATTGATGTTGTTGCCGCAAGTGTTTATGGAATAGTACCAATGTTGCATATTTGCATTCACAATGGCCACATATAAGAAAGAGTTTTTTGTCATTTAAAATAAAAACATTTCCGCACGACTCAAGCTTCGCATCCTCAGGAAGAGGTGACATTGAGTGCACACTGAAATCGTCATCGGAAAGTTCATCTTCCAGTTTTACTCTGACTTTAAGCACTTTATCCTGCGTCTGCGCTTTATTTCCCGCCTGTTGCTGTTTATTCGATATGTTGCGTGAACTTTTACGCGCCGGCGTTGGTATTGTGATGTCTTCCTCTTCCTGGAACAGTTTGTGTGCATCGTGCAAATGTTTTGCGAATGTCGACATGTCTCCATATCGCAAGTCACAAAAGCTGCAATTAAAAATAAGTTGTTCTTGTTTCTCATACATGTATATATTGCCGCAGGACTCCGTTTGGCAGGAGGGTGTGACTAGCGACGATGCCACGGAGCAAGTGGAGGAAGCACGCTTTCTGCATGAACGTTTATTTGCCGTAACATTATCTTCTTGTTCAACTTCGGATTCAGCTTTATCTGTCTTTTCTACGTTTTTACTCGCAGCAGTTTGTTTTATTTTTGCATCTTGTTTTTGCCTTGGTACTTCTGCGCATTTTGCTAGCTTGCTGTCGCTGATGGTAGAAGCAGAAGAGCAGGAAACAATGGAAGTTTTACTACTAACGCTCGTACAACTAGAAATACTGCTACCACGAAGTTTCTTCGCTGTATTCACTTTAATACCACTTCCCGGAGCGCTAATAGTCGAATCCGTTGGTAATTGCAATCCTTTGCCAATTAATTCGTGGAACCGTATTCTCTGTGCTTCCAATTCAGCTTCTTCATCGCTGCTTATCGGTACCAGTGCCTCCTCATCCTCCAGCAGATCCGTTTCAGAGTCATCCTCGTCAGAGTCTTCGTCATCGTCCTCATTGTCAGAGCTGCCCTCTTCCTCCACGGCGATATTCGTTTTCACGTTCTTGTTTTTCTGTTTGCCATTGTTTTCTGCGTCTCCGTCGTCGCCATTATCCGGCGATTCTAGTTTTATGGGAACATGCTCTAACAGTGTGTTGATCATCGCGCTGTTTGCTTCTCAAACACTCTTGTATAATTCTTCTGCTAGATCTTTAATTATTATAGTTACATTAAAATGTTGTTTTCTATATTTTTAGTATATTTCTGCCACTTTTATTAACAATTTATTCAGCACTCTCACCACTATAAGCAAATCCGTCGCACACAGTAATAAATTCTACTGACGCCGCTTCATTTCCACAAAGCTGTCAACTTTTTGCCTTCGCTTACTCATTTGTTGTTGTTCCGCTTTCAATTTTGCTTTGTCCACTTGGCGCGCAGCTCGTTTGTAAAAACAGCAAAACCATGGTGTTAAGAAATTATTTTGCAAACCTTTATTTTGTGCCTGTGCATAGGGCAAGCGAGAGCGAGATGGCTGCTGTATATTGGGGACAGCCGTTAACTGAATGAGTGAATTTGTGGAGCGTATTGCTGTCAACTAATTTTGACAAATGGAAATGCGTAAATGATCTCAATGGAATGAATGATAAAATATCGACGGTTGCATTTATTAACACAGGACATGGAAATGGGAGCATACAAAATGTTTAATGCTGCGTTTTTGCTGCATTGAAAAAGCAACATTTAGCACTTTCGAACATTGTGTTTTCGAAGAGCGTTCGTGCTATCGCATTTAAGCCTCCCTTTAGTCAAATGAATTAGTTGTAAACTACCTCACAACTAGTATGAACCGCATGCCCAACTAGTCAGCCAACTATCTTTTTTCCATGCAATCAACTGGTATTTTTAACATGGGGATGTCCTACGAGATGGAAATTGTCAGATTTCGGTCAGAAATATAATAGTCTCATACTAGTTCAAAATAGACAGAAAAATACTAGTCCAACTATGAACCAAAGCCACTACTTTGGGAGTCAAAAAATCAAATAAATTCATGAATATACAATAAAAACTTTTGATTAAGTACACTTTAATATTTGTATTACAAATTTTTATTTAGTAGCCTTAGATTTGCCAATAATTAGTGTTAAATTTTTTGACTATTAATTAAAAGCAAAATATATACATATATATTTCAAACTTTCGTACATAAATTTAAATGAATTTTTCATTAAATGTTATTAAAAGTAAAAGGTTTCAGGTACAATAAATACTATAAGTTTATATTTTTTAATAATATTGAATGTGCAAAGAAAACATTTTAGTTAAAAATAAAGTGAATACTTTAGTTAATTTTTGAGTGAACTAAAATAAAAATAAAATTTTTAGTTAAAATAAATTATATTCATTAACTTAGGGCATTTCAGTCTATTCTTTTTAAAAATTTATAAAAGTATAATGTTTAAAAGTTGAAATTTGGATAAGAATAAAAAAATAATAATACAAGCAGTTATAAAATATTCTCAACTTTTGTATGTAGTTTGGCTTGTTGATTGATAATAGAAATTAATCAAATGATTATATTTATCGTGTAACTAAAGAAAGTCAAACATAATTGAAAATGATCAAAAATAACAAAATAATGACGTAACTAAAATTAATGAATGAATTAAATTTTTTTAAGTAATTAATTATTAATCAGGTGGTAATATCGGTATTTGATCATTAAACGGTTATCCAAAAAAACATGCTTTAATTAATAATCATTATAAATTATGAATAATATTGAGTACGTAGTCGATTTAATGGTTCACAATATACCAAATGAAAGTTATATTTAGTGTATTAAACTGTCGAATTTAAAACAGTGCATGAATAAATCGTTTTGTACTTGGTACAAGTCTTGTCATTTTCGAGCTAGTTTGGTTTCTGTTAGGAAATTCTAGTTGTAAACTAGTATTTTTCTTGACTAGTTTGGGATTTCACTGCAGGGCAATTATACCAGACATGTCAAATAATGGCTAATATTAGTTGCGATCCCGTACGAGTCCGGACTAGTCAGAAATAGTCAGAATCAGTCAGATTTTACTGGAAATCGATCCCGTACTCGGTTCTCTGACTATTGAGAGGACAAAAAAGAGAGTAAATACGATTCTCTCTCTGTCAGAATTTACCAGTTTTAGTCCGAGAATTTTTTGCTGGTAAATTCTGGTAAATGTGTCAAACGATCAGCTGTAGTGTGTTTGGCAACCAAATTGTAAACAAAAGAAAAGTGCACTCTGCTAATTCATGTTGAAAATTATTTAATTACTTGTTTAAGTGGATTCTAATGAATTTGAAAGTTTTTTTGGTTAATTACATGTGTGAGCTGAGTGTGTTTACATACAAAATAAGCAAAAATTTACAACCAAAATTTGGAGGTTATGTTGAAGTTGACAGAAGTTACCATTTTTTACTAGAAAGCGATCCCGTACGTTTCTATGTTACTCTCTCGCTCTGAGCGAATTTTTATTTTTTGACAGTTTTACTAGTTAAGAGTCCGAGGAATACGGGATTGCACCTATTCATAATGATTATTAATTAAAACATGTTTTTTTTTTGGATAACCGTTTAATGATCAAATACCGATATTATCACCTGATTAATAAGTAATTACTTCAAAAAATTTAATTCATTCATTAATTTTAGTTACGTCATTATTTTGTTATTTTTGATCATTTTCAATTATGTTTGACTTTCTTTAGTTACACGATAAATATAATCATTTGATTAATTTCTATTATCAATCAGCAAGCCAAACTACATACAAAAGTTAAGAATATTTTATAACTGCTTGAATTATTTTTTTTTTATTCTTATCCAAATTTCAAGTTATAAACATTATACTTTTATAAATTTTTAAAAAGAATAGACTGAAATGCCCAAAGTTAATGAATATAATTTATTTTAATTCAAACTTTTATTTTTATTTTAGTTCACTCAAAAATTAACTAAAGTATTCATTTTATTTTTAACTAAAATGTTTTCCTGTGCATATTCAATATTATTAAAAAAGATAAAAATATAGTATTTATTGTACCTAAAACCTTTTACTTTTAATAACATTTAATGAAAAATTCATTTAAATTTATGTTCGAAAGTTTGAAATTAGGGATGTGTAGGATATCCGGTAGATATCCGCAATCCGCCCTATCCGGCCGTTTTTTGGTTATCCGGTTATCCGGCCGGATACTGGCTAATATCCGGCCGGATTCCGGATATCGATTATAGAAGATTCAATTTTTATCCCACATTTTGTATTTTTGTAATCCAATTTAATAGTATCTAATTAGTAATCAAAGTTATCAATTTGTATATTTTTCATTATGAAAAGAAGCATTTCCGCATTATCGGGCAACAACCTATTTCTATTTTCAACATAAATGTTACCCGATGCACTAAATACTCTTTCCGAGTTCGCTGAGGAACAGGGATGCCGTTTGGATCTAAATAGATCCAATTGGATACGTTTTTAGACGAATTTTTGCGGGATACTTATGTTTTCCGATCAGTATAAATGTGGATACTTTTTTAAATAGGCCAAAATTTTATATTTTCTATAAAGTTTTTTTCGTTCAAAAATCGATTTTCATTAATCTCGTTTTCTAAATGTTTTAAAAAGCGCTATTTAAGAGTGAAATTTTTTATTTGTTTGTTTTTATTATTATTATTTATTTATTTTTTTTATACAATACATAATATAAATACATTCAATTTAATTTTAATGTTTAAAGTTGCAAAAATTTTTTAACTAGAAAATACATTTCCTACAAATATTAAACATTAGGGGCTTACATTTACTCTATTTTAATCATTTTATGTGTTATTTTGCTCTTTGCTCCAAATTTGATATATTAAAGTAAATAGGCAGTGTTCAACATCCTGAACATCTTATATGTATGTATATTTATACAGATTCCTGTTGAAAAATATATACTTTTCAGTAGTAGTTTTACACACACTTTTTAGAGTGTACAGGTACAAATGTAACATATTCATTACTATTTATTATACTTACTTTGAAAAGTACTTATGCGTAAAAAATGTAATTTGTAAATTGAAATTACTAAACTTTGATTTTATGAAATATAAAAATATATAAATACATATTCCAAGTCCTTAAGATGGTTTAAATTATGTATTTTTCTTGAAAATCTTTGGTTTTCTTACAAATTATGAGATGGATACGTAAAAAAAGAAAATTGGATACATTTGAATACATTTTTGGCTTGGTCGGTGATACATTTTCTTTGGACGGCGCGGCAACACTGCTGAGGAAGGTGGCGCGCAGAGATACTTCAGGCTATACTTCCACTAAGTTAAGGGATCTTCTTGTCTGGATATAAGAGGTAGCTGCAAATATTTCTCTATTTCTAGTTCATAAATCGCAACCTTTTTTCTTGTACGTTCGCTGCCTTGTATACCAATCGTTTGGCTATCCATATCACTAGAAACACTAGAATCAGCATCAGAGCCGTTGGCGATTCCTCAAAGCATTGCCAAATATCCTCGTGAGCTCGATCTTCGATGGAAGCTTTCACTATAGTTCGGCATTTTTCATATGATTCAACTGGTTTCTCCATGCTGATTTATAATTTCGAATTAGTTCATCAACAACCCAGTTTTTAGCTTTATTGGCGTCAGAAAAAAAACGAGTTTTGAAACGGTGCGAATCTGTTCCGAAAAAATTACAACAATGCCACAACTATTTATTGGAACATTCACAGCTCGTCATTTTGTCGTGCCGAAATTGCAGACCTACGCGTTCGGAAACGAAAAAGGTTAATAGGCGGGTTCTGTATAATTTAAACAAAAATTAACGTAAGAAAACAAAACATCTTGATTGTTCAAAAGCAAAGAGTTTGATGAAGATTGTTTTTTGTTTATAAGATGCCATTTTTCACGTCGATAGCATCGCACAGATGTGTGCGTAATTGTGTTTTCGAAGTGGTAAATTCTATAGCATCAGAAACGGTGCGGAGGTCGAGGTGAACTCGAGCCGGCAAAAAACAATATTGTGAAATTTATTAATGGCAGCAGTCTACCGGATATCCGATCGGATATCCGAATCCGGCTGTTATTTTTTACAGGGTATCCGGAATCCGGTTATCCGGCAAAATCTATATCCGGCACATCCCTATTTGAATATATATGTATGTATATATTTTTGCTTTTAATTAATAGTCAAAAAATTTAACACTAATTATTGGCAAATCTAAGGCTACCAAATAAAATTTTTTTATACATATATTAAAGTGTACTTAACCCTTTCGGTACATCTTTTTAAATTCGGGCTATAAAAATCCAATTTTTTTATTAAATGATCCTTAATACATAATATAATAACATTCAATTTAATTTTTTTCCAAAATGCGATTCTAAAGTGTTTTTTGGAATGAATATTTATATGCAT